TTATTGCGACAAAGTCATTGTCGAAGTCTTGTGATCGAATTGGAAAGACACCACATGAAATATACAGATGATTCGGAATCCTGGTTGAAATAGTATTGTTCACAATAAAATTATTTACAGTGTTTAAGATTTTTATCTAACATTAAATTAATAATATTCTAATTTTATTAAATTGCTTGTCAATTTAATATGTAATAATACTCTAATTTTATTAATATTTAATATTTTAGTTTCGTTCATGATTGCGTTTCAAAACTGAAAAAGATTTCGGCACGTAGTTTGTAAAATTAGAATTCAGTGTGTATATAAATTCACAATGAAATATTTGATCCACTTACTGCGATCCACTTTGATCGAATAGAATTTCTTTATATTTACGGATTTCTTTAGATTTATTTTAAACATAAATAAAAGTACTTTAATATTGAAGATACTTTTTATAATATCTTTAAATAATAAACAAAAGAAAATAATAGGCACTGAGACATATCAAGTCATTAAAGCTGGTATTTATAGATCAATTCTTATATTTAAGATCGTCTTAGGCACAGTCTTAAGATTTTATGAATCAATCAGAAAGCCACATTAGCATCTTAAGACATTATTTAAGATGGTCTTAAAATAAGAATTGATTATGAATACCGGCTTGAATCTGTTTTTTATTCTTACACTCTTTGAACAGGAGCACGGTGCAATAAGTTGAAGTAAAACAAATACACATCTGTTTCACTTCATCTTATTGTATTGTGCGCAATTCCAGAGAGTGCAGAAATAAAAAACAGATCTAATGTTCAGAATTACAAATCTTTCGAACATCAGATTTTTAGATCATATTGATCTAACAATATTAAACAGAAATAGGTTTATAAAAAAAAAAAAAGAGATATCATAAAATCCAACAGTGAGAAGCGTATATTAAAATTTGCTACACATTAAGATAATTTGAAAGAGATAACACTTTTTTTATCTAAAAATGGAGATAGTATGTATTCCATTATTCTAGATAAGATAAAGCTATTTCTAAATAATTTTATCTAAATAATTATAATTTTAAATAGATAACAGCAAAAACTGCTTACAGAAATTCAGTTTTTATACTTGTCAATTTAATATTTAAAAAATGTAATAATAAATTACTTATTTTGAGTAAAAGCATCGAACAATGATACTGAATAATTAATCACTGTCCTCCAGTATTAAACTGTAAAGGTTTCAATCGCGCAAAATGCTTTCTAGCTTCATCATCATTCTCGTCTTCCATTTCTTTCGCGAGTCGAATTTGCAATTTCAATACGCGCAACGGTCGTTTCTTCTCACGCCGCGCTACTGCTTTGTGATGATTTCTGCGAAGCCTTTCTCTCCATTGCAATACAATGAATGACTTGGACATTCTGCCGTTTGCATGCATACACCGTACCGTGACAATGCGTGACAACAAACGATAGTGTATTATGTCACAGATAACGAGCACGCCAAGTAACTTCGTGAAGTAACGTTGGAAGTTCACACGATGATTTACGCTCGCGAAATATCGCACTGTACATTCCTGATGATCTCACCGGTATTTCAAGAAAAGAGCTAGATTCCAGAAGAACAACTGGAATTATTACGTTAATTAGAGCTTCTCCGAAGAATCGCATGAGCAGAATCGCTGTTGATGAATCGCTTGATAATTTATTTTACGCGTTGTGAATGCAAGCGCGAATATCAGCTAATAAAACTGTATGCAATAAAACCTCATTTTGCTTCATTAAAGTTAAATTGACGTATTTTTATATGTCGATGTGTTCACAATTAAAATTCTGTTTTTTTCTCAAATCTTCCTCTCTCTCTCTCTCTCTGAGAAATATGTAGACTTTATAGAGATATCATTATTAATATTATTCTCAATATCTCCTCTTATAATTTGTAACTTAATTATTGATAAAATATGCGACATTAAAAAAATTATAACGTCTTTTTTAAATTCTTTGGGAAAGCTGATGTTCAAAACAATCTACACTGTTGCCACTGTTGGATATTAAAAGAGAGCAATGGTAATCTAATCTCTTATATTAAATAACATTTTGTTTATTTTTAACTTCTATACGTATCAAAATGTAAATTAATCCATTTCCGTAATTTCAAAATAAACAATCCATATTAACAGTCCATATTAAGGCATATGCACTTAGTAATTAGACAAAATAAAACGATTTAAGTAAGAAAAATACCTTACTCGATCTGAGCTAGATCTTTGTATTTAATTATATTTTGATGTAAATTTATATATAATCATATCCAATTTTCTAAACTGCGCGCCGAAATAATTCTTTCTGAAATGCAATTGAATTGAAAAATTGAAATAATGTCTTAAATTAAATTGACAAGCAATCTAATAACATTAATTATATCAAACTTATATTGAAATCAGCGGCAACTTTAAGTTAAAATTACGATTAATGTTAGCTTTTTCTCAGGTGTATCAGATTTTAATGATATTGATACTAATAAATATTTTAAAACAGTATAAATAATTTATTACGAAAAATATTATCTTAACTAGAATTTGAACTGGTTTAAAACTGGATTTTCTTTGTGAAGGCTGTTTTTACCAATTCAACCATTGAGACATATAGTGATATTTATTATGTAATAACTAATATTAAGAAAATATTTGTTATTTTGCGATAAATTAGTTATAAGGTTTAAGACGCTTATTAGTATCATCATTAAATTACTTGTTAATTTAATTCATGATATTACTGTTCTACTGTTTGAGATTACGTTTCAGGACAGAAAATAATTTCGACGTGCAGTTTACAAAACCGGACAAGTATATAAATTTACACTGAAATATTATTAAGCACTAAGATTTATTTCAGACCAAATAAGGCATTTTCTTTAACTGTGTACACATATCAGACTAACATCGTTTACTGTTATAAAAAGATCTGTTAGGTAATCAACGATGACAATTATTCATGTAGAGTTAAAATTTTTTAAGAAAAAAACGAAAAAGCGCCAAGTGTATGCGTTTCTCGAAAAATAAATGTTATATAAAATTATAATTTAGTTATATTTAATTTTTTTTACAAAAATTATGATATCAAAATGTTACGATTAATGAAAATTTGTACATGTAATAAATTTATATTAAAATGTACTTTTTGTTTAAAAACAAATATTAGATCATTACAATTAACCAAGTATTTGATTACATAAGTGTATGACTATATTAATATGCAATAAGTAAGAAGTTAAAATAATAAGAAATAAAATATTCTTGTTAAACATGATTGAAAAATTTAAAAACAGAAAAACAGATATGGAATTAATTGCAACTAACTAATTGTTTAAGTCTAACAACATTACGCACATGTTAGACAGTCAACAATGAATATTCATGTAGAATTGAAAAGACAGTTACATACGATAGTGAAAAATATTACGAGAAACATTAAAGAAAGAAGAATTTTCAGAAGGAAGTGAAAAGAAAGCTAGCTTAACAGATTTTTGCTAATTAAAGAACCACCACTAATTACCTAGGATTGCTGATAGCGATAATCTCGTATCTCGACCGTAACAGTGTAAAACTTCGTATTGCGGTATGCTCACTCATGGTCTCGTACACGCGAAGATGTACTAATAGTCGTTCAACGCGCTCTGTGGCTTTTCGACGGAGGGACGCGTGGTAAAAATTGTACCGCGCCGAGGCCGTATGCCTGTACAAAGAAATATACGCCAGTTATATCATCGCTGCGATCGGCACTGGCAGCAGGGTGAACAGTATCGCGCTGCATTCGCGGGAAACTGCAGCTGCATCTTTCAGTTTCGTATTCTACCTGCGCGGCGAGATAAAAGACACATCCGCGTATAATGTGCTTCGGATCGTGTTTGTTTTTCATTAATCATCATCGATTTGTCATTCTTCATGCATTTTAATGTAGACTCAACGTTCAATCAATCGTCTGTGCATTAAATTATATTTTATACGCGTACGATATTTTTCTAATTATATGTGCGCGATATTGTCTCCAGTCGTAGAGAACTCTTTTCAAACTTCCTCAAGAAAATAAGTGCTGTTTAAGAAAACAGAAAAAGCCGTTTATCGGAGGAAAAGAAATAATATCGTGATGTAACGTGTGATGTTATCCGTCTTAAACATGTAGATGGTAGATCCAGACTAATTGCATAACTCGACTACTAGTTTTTTATTAACAAAATAAAAGGATATAATCCGCGCAACGCAGGAATAACGATATGTTAATTGCGAGAAGAGCATTCTGCAGAATTAATATAGATATACAGATTTTAATTATACGTACGTTTGACGTGCGATTCTGAGAAAATGACCAGCATTGAAACAGCGGCAGGTAGACATTGCTGTAAGAGTAGAATACTGCCAACCGGATATTGGCTTCGTAGAGGCTGAAGAAGGCGTAGCTGAGTCACACACAGCACAACGAAACGCAAAACACAGCTATCACGTTCGACGCGCGTATTGCAACACAGGAAAGAGTTAACCTTCTATGATATACTCTGAATCATTCACGAGACCACAAAGCAGATATTTCGAAGTGACTCTTCGTATTACTTAATTTATATTTTCAAGAATAATTAACGGAGATCAAGAAACATCGTAGACATTGAGATGCTTTATCATATAATAACTTATTGATGTTATCGATGATATCTTAAATGTAGTATATTAACAAAATGTTTACAGAATAAACAGAATAAAATATTTTTTTGGAAACAGTGCAGTTTCAATCTTTAATGTCTACATAATCGAATAATTATTCTCGATTAAAGTATTTATTTCATTATTATTTCGATTCAAAT